ATGACCATATACAGCTATATAAACTCAAAACCAAGTATAGCAACTATATCCTAAGATCTCCATCAACCCTATATCATATATGCATTTATGGGCTTTCAAAATTGTTTCCAATTTCCTATTTGTCTATTAATGTTGATCTTTTCCATAATTATTTTCCTGTGTCTTTCCCAAGTGCACATTTCTCAAACTTTGAGGACAGCTTATGAAAATGACAGAGCATTTTCCCTCAATGATGTTTTCACACTTATAATTTTTGAGAACAACTTCTTGAGAGATGTTTTGGGAGTTGTATTCCAGAACACATTATCTTCAAGGTCTTCCCTGGTAGGAAGGATAAATGATCTTGCCTTAAGAGTTGCAATGAATCTTCCAGTTTTGTAGAAAAAATTATTCCACTTACAGAAGCTGCAGGAATAGACTTTAAGCCCAGGGATGGCATGACTGGGAGTGATCCTAGAGAAAAGACCGGTTCTCACAGGACACATTGAGGAATGAGAGTGAGTTACTTGCAGTTACTTGCAACTGGTGAACGGTCTGAGCATTTGGGAGGGAAGGGTATCAGTTCAGTTAATAAGCCTTTCCTGAGAAAGGAAAAGATAGCTTCACAAGTACTGAATGGGAACTTCATCCTTGTTAGGGTATCAATAAAAGCTGGACCAGGGTGGCTTGATTTTCCCACCAGGAGTGCTGCAGACTTCTCTGCTGTGGGGCTGTTTCAGAGGTTCTACTCTTCACCTACAAAGTGCCTTCCAGTCAGTTACACCATCGCACTATTCGGCAGCCAAGTGAGTTACACCATGGCACTATTACGGCAGCCACGTGACAAGTGACTACAGTGCAGCATGATATATATGCTTTGCAACTGATGGAATGAGCACAGATGCTATGATGTAATAGGAAACAAAGAGAAAAAGAAGGTATACAGTTGGGATTTTGCCACATGGAGAAAGGGTTTGAGTGTGACTACATGGGGAAGAAGAAAGGAATTTAAGCAACAAGTAACACAAGACATTGAGGTGGGTAAGGGCACAGATGTATCCAGGAAATGGCAAAGATAACTGGAATTCATGAGGAACTAGGCTAGGGCAAGATTTTGAAGAACCTCCCCTGTAAAGGAAAATGTAAAGGAAATTACATTCATCCTGCAGAAAATCTGAGACAAATACTTTCTATTGTTATACTACTATGATTCTCTTCTCGGATGATCTACGTTTAGAAAGAACACTGATAATAGCAAGTGGATGAACTCAATGTCAAAGTGTCTAGAGTCTGGGAGAGTAATCTGAAGCCTTTGTAGGAGTCAAGGACCCAACTGGAAAAGAAGAAACAGAGTAAGAATGAGGTAAGAATGAGGGGATCAAGAAAGAATAGGATCTTAGTCACCTGTTCACTGTGGGACAGTAGAGAAGAGAATGAGGCAAGAACAACTTGTCATCTGTTTTTTAATTTCTTGGAATTATTTTCATGGGATTCATGCCATGGTGAAATGACTGAGTCAAACAAAGGGTAGAGTAATATAGCTCAGGAAAATAATTTACACCACCATCATCATACGTGCAGAGACTGCTGCACAAGTGGGCTAGTCTTAGTTACGAGTCTTCACTTTTATGGTTCTGTTCAATGCAACTGCTCTCTCATAATTTTTTTGTACTTATATGTATTTCATTACTGGTAAAATTAGAGTGTTTTCCCCCCTAAAATTTTATTTAGTATTATTTCTTCTGATATTATCATCTCTTGTGTTTATTAGTTGTGTGATCTCAGGCAAGTTATTTAACTAAAGCCTTAGTGTCCTCACCTATACATAGGGGAGAGTAATTATACCTATTGAGGGGATTGTTGTGATACAAAATGAGACATCAGAGTAAAAGCCTAGCCCTGGCTTGGCACAGAGTAGGAATTCAGTAGATTAACGTACTTATAATGATGTGTTGATGCTACTGCAAACCTTTACTTATAATATATAGAGTATATGCTTCATTTCATATATGTTCATATATTCATATAAGAAATATAGCATATATTCTCTATATTTACATATATTTAGAATACATGTAAATATATAATTTGTTTTATAACATAAATGTTATTTATTTTATTCAATTAGCTGATTTCACTATGAAAAAATACTCTGCTTTTGAGCTGGGATAAGTGTATTAGTAAATTTTGTTATCGTAAGTTTGTCGAATGTTCAATGTATATACAAGTTGTATTTCTGCTTCTCTATTTCTGCCTGTTTCTTTTTTTGTACTTTAATGTTTTAAATCTGTATGATACTTTTAAAAGTTCTCACTTCATACATGTTCTGAATCTGGTGGGACACGTTTTCCTTCATGATTCCTTTGATAGCTTGCCCTTTCATTTATTTATTTTGTTTGGATTTTAGAACCACTTTGTGAGGATATGTAATATTTTGGTACCCTAATTAGAACCCTCTTAAATTCATAGATTATGTTAAGGGATACCTTCAGTTCTATTTAGCATGTGCTCTTTTTCTGTCAGGAGCTTATATGCCTACATTTAATTGAATCTTCCTAACTTTCACGTTATGTTTTGTTGTTTTCTTTATTTCAGCAAAGGACTGGGAGACAGAAGACTTCAGTTGGAATTACACATTCTTGAAAACTGACTTTCTCAGTTATGTTCTCATGAAAGAAACTATGTGTCCATTCAAAGAATCATGTGAATGGAATCTGTCTACTTCAAATCCATGCTACTAAAATGGAGCTAATAAGCGTTATTTCCTCAGCTGTAACTGGGGAGGTTAATACTTGTTAAATCACTTGTCTGCTATAAGGTTTGCTTGTAAACAATGTGAAATAATGTTTTCAAAATTATTAAAATGTTATTTACAAGAGTGTGATATAATAAAATGTGATTATATAAACATTTTTGTTTTCTAATGAGACAGTAAGATTCCAGAGGGGAGGAACCATGTCTTCATCTCTTGGTATCCACAATACTTTACATGGTGCTAGACCATAAAAGGAACTCAGTAAGTAATTCTATGTTAAGAAATTAATAATGATAAAAAAATTATAAAGAAAAGGAATAGGTTTAGGGAATGGTATGAATTGGAGAAAAATGAGTTTATTCAATCTTACTAGTACATTAACTTCATCTCAATATTTTTTTTGTTTGTTTGAGACAACAAGGTCTCTGCCACTGTGCCTAGCCTTATCTTCTTACAATCTTCTTATAATTCAATATTTATCAATATATTAGTAACTTTCCTTTTGCTAGGCTCTCATTGTGACAAAATTTTAAACCTTTATATTAGTGTGATGTATGTTATTTGTATCCTAGAATCTTTCCAGTATTTCCCTCTTAGTATAACTGCTCTGCTGAAAATGAGACAGGAGCTGGGAGCTGAGCAAAGGAGAAGATGGAAGTGGCAGGGAATGTTATATAATTATCCCATATTTGACCCCAGAGCCAAGAACCAGAAATATGCCAAGATCATAGTAATAACCATTGTCATATCAAATACCAACCAGAGGCTTTCCATACTGTTCTTAACCTTAAATTAAAGGTGAAACAGAAAGACTTCTGTCTGCCAAAACCATAGTTCAGGTTTTTGGTTTCCTTGTTCTGGCTGCCTTAATGTCTAAAGCTAAAACTCTCCCACCATGTCTGCAGCATGGAAAGAAGAACCTTGTTTAAGGTTTTGGCAGTTCACAGAAAAGAATATTTTGTTTAGAATTACCATTTGTGGGAAATTATCAAGTATACAAACACATTCCACTGATTTGATTATCTTAAGCATTTTGTTCTTTTTTTTGAAATCATCTCAAGGGCTAACAATGTGACCTTATCATGAGAACTGGCCAAAACTCAAATATTTGCATTGAGGAGCTTCTAGGCTTTTTGGTTCATTTGTAAGATGGATTCTGATGTAGATGCTTTATGTAGCGGAATGACCTTTCCACTTTTCTGAATAAAAATAAAATAATCTTTTAAGGTGCAGCATCATTCATGTTTCTTTTGGATCCAAAATACATTAAAAACTCATTCCAGGCCGGGTGCGGTGGCTCAAGCCTGTAATCCCAGCACTTTGGGAGGCCGAGGCGGGTGGATCACCAGGTCAAGATATCGAGACCATCCTGGTCAACATGGTGAAGCCCCGTCTCTACTAAAAATACAAAAAATCAGCTGGGCATGGTGGCGAGTGCCTGTAATCCCAGCTACTCGGGAGGCTGAGGCAGGAGAATTGCCTGAACCCAAAAGGCGGAGGTTGCCGTGAGCCGAGATCGCGCCATTGCACTCCAGCCTGGGTAACGAGAGCGAAACTCCGTCTCAAAAAAAAAAAAAAAAACTCATTCCATATACAAACTCTGGAGGCAAGTCCATGAGTCTTATAATAAAATCTGCATAGTAGTTTAGAACGTGCAAATTATCTAATTGTGCTGAAATCCTCATTATAACTCACTGAAATTGATAGGGCAGGTGATTTTATTATTATTTTCCTTTCCCATCTCCTCCTCTTTATTGCACAGATGGATTGCCATGGGTTAACTTAGAAGCTTTGGCTGGGCACAGTGGCTAATGCCTGTAATCCCAGCACTTTGGGAGGCCAAGGTGGGCGGATCATGAGGTCAAGAGATCGAGATCATCCTGGCCAACATAGTGAAACCCCCTGTCTACAAAAAATACAAAAATTACCTTGGCATGGTGGTGTGTGCCTGTAATCCCAGCTACTCAGGAGGCTGAGGCAAGAGAATCGCTTGAACCTGGGAGGTGGAGGTTGCAGTTAGCTGAGGTTGCGCTGCTGAACTCCAACCTGGTGGCAGAGTAAGACTCTTGACTCAAACCTGGTTTGCTGAGTTCAATTCCCACAAATCAGAGTTTCTCAATCCAGGCACTACTGACATTTTAGGTTGGATAGTTGTTTGCCGTGGAGGCTGTCCTGTGTACTGCGAGATGTTTGGCAGCATCCCTGGCCTCTACCTACTAGATGGCAGCATCCCTGGCCTCTACCACTGCGCAACAGTTGTGACAGCCAAAAATGTCTCCAAACATTGCCAAATGTCCCTGGAAGTGGAGGTAGGAATCTCTGGTTGAAAACCACTGAAAGCTTTTCAAAATGCCAAGTCACCTGTAGTTGATAAGTAACTCAATTCCTACAGAGACTACCTCCACTTCATATCTGCTGTGCTTTTCAGGACATAGTTGCTAGATGTGTCTTCAGATACCAGCTGGGTTGTTTCCAGCAAGAAGATTACTGGCAATGCAATAGTTGTCCCTTATCGAGAGGGGATGAATTGTAAGATCCCTATTGCATGTCTAAAACTGCAGGTAGTACTGGACCTTATGTATACTGTTTTTTTTTCCCCCTATAAATTTCACAGTAGCAGGCAGGAATTTCTTGCCATTATCAACTCCTGCTTTCTTACCTATAAAACAGGGATGATTCTGTGAATTTCCCTGTAGAGCACAGGCTGAGCATTTGCCTTTGAGGTGGACTGGCTGGGTGGTTTCAGGCGAGTGACTTAACCTCCCTGTGCCTTATATTTTTCAGCCGTAAATGGTAATTCCAACAGGACTATTGTGAAGACTACATAAGGTAATGTGTAAGGGGCTTAGAACAGTATCTGGCACATACTAAGTGCTCAAGAAATGTTAGCTCCAGAATTTTTAAGGATGTCAGTTCTAGTAAGTGATAAAGCACTGGTGTGGGACTACAAGTTTCAAATGTCACAGAACATGTCTACTTCATTCACCACGGCATTCCAAATTTCTAGTACAGTGCCTGGCACAAAGAATGCATTTAAAAAACACTCACTGAAAAAATACAGCAACGACTAGGGCTGTGGAAAACTGACACCCAGGTTCCACTCTGAAACTCGCTATCTACTGCCCATCTCACCCACTGCACCCAGCAGTGAGGCCTTGGGAAAGTTGCTAGTTCTAGATCTCTCTTATCTCCTGTAAAATGAAGGGATGATGCCTAAGAACTAGAAACCGTAGTGCTCTAAATGATAACGGACACTCTTAATTCTACTATACTTTTTAGGAAAAGGATTACCAAAACTGTAACAACATAATTTTTGCTTGAAAACAATCAACAGTATAGAGACACTACAAAGTTGCTGAATAATAGTTTTCAAAAGAAATTTAGTGTTGATTGTTTGCTTCATCAAAAAGGGCAGTAAAACTTGGCACTAATGCCATCACTCAGTAGTGGGCTACTTTCCCCTCAAGAGCTCTGTAGAGAGGGAAGGAAAATGAAGCAGAAAACAGAGAAATCAGTGGTCCCTGCTGTCAATACTAAGCTTTTCTTGGTTTTCCAATCCTTCTGGCTTATGTGTGAAAGAGAAAAGCTTGACTCACAGGCAATGGAATCAAAGTGATTTAAGCTTTCAGAGTCTGTTTCTCTACCTGTAAAATGGGATAGGATAACACCTACCCTCAATGAGAGTATCATGAGCATTACATGAAATAACCAGGCAAATGATCAAGAAAGAACACTTTCAATTAATTGAAGTTATTAATAGTATAGTAATAATTGCAATTATTTACAACAGAATCATATCCCTACTAATAGCATTGAGAGTAATTCTTTTGGCTGGGTAACACATAGAATATAAATTGTATTTTTTTTTCTTGTCTTTTGAGACGGAGTTTCTGTTGTCCAGGTTGGAGTACAGATTGCAGTGGTGCGATCTTAGCTCACTGCAACCTCTACCTCCCAAGTTCAACTGATTCGCTAGCCTCAGCCTCCCCAGTAGCTGGGATTACAGGTGTGCGCCCCCATGCCCAACTAATTTTTGCGTTTTTAGTAGAGACAGGGATTTACCATGTTGGCCAGGCTGGTCTCAAACTCCTGACCTCAGTTGATCCACCTGCCTCACCCTCCCAAGGTGCCAGGATTACAGGTGTGAGCCACTGTGCCTGGCCAGAAATGCTAATGTAGTATGCAAAGAGACATCAGACAAAGAAATGCATGCCAGCTAGGTAATCACTTTTGTGGAAGAGCTCGATAAGAGATTAGGAGTGCTGAATGGTGAGTTGGGGAAAAATTAATGTTTAAAGTTAGAGAAACAGTTGGGTCAGAAAAAAAGAACATGAAAAAGCAGAGTAGCAGAGTGGTTAAAGCACTGCCTAGCTGAGTCTATTTGTTTCTCCAGGTGGGAAAAAATGGAGTTAGTAATACTGAACAGGATTGTTATAAAGGGTTAAAGAGTTAATATTCGTGAATGGCTTAGAACCACACCTGGAACAGAACAAATGCTATCTAAGCATCTGTTACATAGACTAGAGGAGTGATAATCATGGCTGAAGTGACACAGAATGGCCTGTTAGGAAGCCTTTGTGGTAGAGCCCAGCAAAGTGGCCTTCTAAGGGCACAACCTGGAAGCTCCCAGCTCTTTCATCCACTCCATACCCGGACTCCTCCTCTGGGCAAGGTGAAGTGGCATGGCCATCAAGAGTCAATTCACATTTGCGATGACAGAGATGGACCAGTGGCTGAGGCAGAAAAAAACCTCTGTTGACACTAGGGGTAACAGAAGTACATGTAAGACAACATGCTATCCCTTCCTGTGGGCTCCCACAGTACTCCCTATGTATTTCACAGCATCCCAGTTAGACAGAGATCCCTGAGAAGGAAACCGAGTGCTGTTCATTGTGGAATGCCCCCTCCACAGTGCTCAGTAAGTATGTATGGAAGTGAAGCCAAAGTGAGAAGTAATTGCTGAGCCACTAAGCACTTGGACCCCTTACTGCTCGATACCCTATTTTCAACCCTCTATATTGCTCTAAATAGCTCAAGGTCAATGTGTGGGAGAGGAGAGCTGTAATCCTAAAGCTTAGGCTTTTTAGTAAAAATTGAGTCTTCTTTGTAGTGGTGGCCTGAAAATACCAGGCGGAAAATCGGCTATGAAGCCTTCTGATGGGGGGAATTTCCTCCAGCCTCTCTCTCAGTCCATCCACAAACACCTCAAAGCTAGCAGAAACATAACTGAACTTAGGAGTTTGCAGGTGAGCTGATCTTTTCTTCTTTCTTTATGGCCATCTATCAAATTCTCTTCTGTGCTTTCTTTGAGAACATCCTTCTCATACAGCCCTCTCTCTAATCTCTCTGCTTAGCACCTTACAGGATCACACTGGGATTACCACCACAAGGTCTTACTGTGGTTCTGTCTACATTTCATTGCAAGACACAGCTTCCTAAAATACAAGTTTCATCATATTTCTTCCCTGTTCAAGATCTAGGCTCCTTATTCCTTACCTTTACCTAAACTACTTTGGTTATCAAGCTCCTTCCTCCATATTTGGGCCCTACCCTGCCTATGTGATGCACATAAAAACTTACTTACTAAGGCCTGCATGTGGAATATCCTGTTCTGTTTAATGACCTCACAGCACTCACCATTGTAGCTTTTCTCTCATTTAATCACATTTTCTAAAATGTTGGCTTCTTGTGCTTTGCCCATGTTGTTTCCCCTTTTGGAATAACTTAATCCTTCTTTTCTGGCTATTTAAGTACCAGCCCTTCAATTAACACTCAAAATCACCTGTGTGGCTTAGATAATGTATAATTGTATTACCTTGTGTTTCTATTACCTTGTGTTTCACTCTCTGTTGCCAATGTGTAGGCACAGGTGTTCCCTCCTCAAAAAAAATTATAAATTCTTGAGAGCAGGGAGTTTATATTATTTTTACTTGTTTGTCCAATAAATACTCACTGAACTTCACTGCTGTGTCAGGCACTGCACTACGCTTTGGGGTACAACGATGAACATGACAGATACAGTCCCAGTCCGCACAGCATTTACATTCCAGTGTGTATGGGCATATGTGTGAAAGATATGAAAAAATTTACATATGAATAATTCAAAACTGAAGTAAGCACCATGAAGACAAAGTATGGGATGCTGAGAAATCATGACAAAGCTTCATATTGAAAGAAAATCTCCCTGAGCTGAGATCAAAAGGATAAAATAGAAATAGACAGGCAAACATCCAAAGGTCTCAAGAAGCCTGGAGTCTTAAGGGAACTGAGAAAAGGTCAGTATCCACAGCTGCAGAGGGCAGAAGATGAGCCATATAAGACAAGGCTACTGATGTGCAGGCTGGGTGTAGTTCCTGACACTGTACTAGAATCAAGAGGCACTTGTGAAGTGAAAGCAAACTTTAGGTAATCCTTAGGACTCATAATGCACGATGGCAAAGGTTATTTCTGAAATATTGTTGCTGTACATTCAATTTTCAAACAATGCTGAATACCCAAAGCTTAAAAAACATGAATACTTGTATACTTGTGTGCTTATGAATCCTCATTTCACTGACCCAAATGTGACCAGTGAGGATGCAGGGCGAAGGAAATGGCCCTTTGAAAAGGCTGCATGTGACATTAATAAAGAGAGGATCTGCTGCTATCAGCTGCTGATTTTGTCTTTCTCAAGTTCAATAAACAAGATATGGACCAATGACAACTATGACATGGACTGTGGTCCATTCCACATCACAAGTTAGATGCCAAAATGCTTTGCACAGGCCACCAAACAGATGGTAACGTATTTGAGCCAATACCAATGTGTGCAGGATTCAAACCAGTGACCCCAGAGGTAAGAGGTTGTATATCCAATTACAAATTCCCACTTTCCTTAAGTGTTAAGATGCCTAAAGCAATATATTTTATTTACATCAAGATGCACTGTATAAACTATATTTGATCAAAGAGATGACTTCACGTCCTCAACTTAAATCAAAGAATGCTTACTTAAGTATTTTTTTAATTGAATCAGACTTTAATGCCATCGTATAATCTTTTGGTTAACAGTGCTCATCTTGATTATTCTAACAAAGGGAAACATGGAAATTAATACTTACGTTCTGAAGCTTATGTCATCTATAAAAATACACATTAGAAAATTCAACAAAGGTACCTGGGACATCTGTGAAGGTTTCTCCAAGGATTGAGACGTGGAAATTGAGTCCTAAGTCCTTAAGATGCATTAATACCTTAAAAAAGCTTTCTGGATCTTTATCGTGCTCCCTGGAAATAAACACACAAAATATAACTTGTGTTACCTTAGGGCATGTGTTAGGAAAAGTGATTTCACATCTTACAGTTTCATCTTTTTTCATGGTCTATTGCTGGTTGGGGAGCCTGTGGTATCCAAGCAGAGATTTCTTCCTATAACCTCACACTGTAACATCTGCAGAGTTTTCATGTCCACAAACTTGTCTCTTATGATCAGAACCTAGTCCTACTGAAGTTTTAAGGCTCTGCAGCCTTAAAAGAGAAATTTGCCTTTTCACGTCTTAAGGCTAGACTACAGAAAGCATAATGTATTTTGTTTTTCCCTAAAATGGTTAATTTCTACTTAACGGAGGATAAAAATAAACTTTTTTTTTTTTATTTAAGAAAAGACCAGTCTTCAAAGGCTGACTCTCTACTGATCATGAGAATGTACCAAAGATGCCTTTTCATTTCCATAGATCTGAATACCTTCCTCTCACATTTACCGAGCTCCTTTGTGCCTACAAGGAACACACAATTTAGGGAGATTAGAGACCCTCTCACTAATCTCTCATTTTAAATAATTGAATGGAGAATTATAAATACATCAAAAGGGGGTAGGTCTGGGTCTATGTCCGCTGGGTATTAACTTAGGAGTGGAGTTACGCAACATATAAAAGAATAGTAATAAAGATAATTCTTTCATTTAGAAAGAACACATGGATTATATTTTGTTTGTTTAGCTTGTCAGTCTTCTTTGTAAATGACAGAATGAGAGGCTAAAGGACACTTAAATTTTTAAAAATTCTATGATTCAACAAATCACATAAAAATAAAATGAGTTTTTTTTTAACATCCTAAGGTGTGAATATTTTAGTATTTCTTGCATTTAATTACACTGTTTTAAATTATCTTATTTCAGACAGATGTGGACCAGATGTCTTCAAAATATTTGGTTTTTATTTGTAATTCAGAATTTTAACTTATTTTTTACATTATGGAAAAATATTATATATCAGCAATTGAATTTCTCATTTACTAACTAATTATGTAAAATAAATCTGTAAATTGATCAAACTGCTATATGGAATATGAAACTTATATCATTCAGAAAATCTCATGAAAAATGACATCTGCAACCTTAAATGTGTTAATTCACAATTCAGTCAATATTTTCAGTATCATGAATTAAAACAAATGTATCTTCTAATTAACATTTTAAAACAGCATTTATAATCTTATGAAATTGGTAAGATCTTATAGAATTAGAGTTCTATAACCATTTCTTTTAAGCTCTATATGTCTCAGTTTGATTTAGTTCAAATAATAAAGAATGCAATGACAAAATGTTCATTGCTTTTTAAGATGATGCAGATTACATACATGTACCATTGGGACGTTTCTGGATAGTTCTCATATGTACTACTGCTATGGGAAAGAACAAAGACTCAAAACAGTTTGAAAGTAAAGAATATGCCATATGCCATCTTTAACCACATCAATCAAATAGCTGCTACCTAATCTATAAAATGTTCTTTTAGTCTGATTCTCTAGGAAATACTTAGATGAAAAGATTGGAAATAATATAACATAATACATCTTAAAGAGGGAGTAACACCATAGGGAAGTGTAGCCATTCAGTTCTCTAACTTTTTTATTTTGAGTTCAAAAATTTTGGCTATGGATACCTAAGAGACCATATATTCTAAATATTTCTCCTTTTTTTTTTTGGTATTAAGTAAAAGTAGATGAGGTTTGGAGTTGGGAGAAGATTTAATCGGGTAGAGCTGTAGCTCTTAAAAGATTTCAGTGTGAATATTTTCAAAGCAGCTGGCTTTATAAACCTCTATTTTCAGTGTTTTTATACAAGATAAATGCATTACAATCCTGCTGTATTCTTTAGTTATTTCCTATAGGTGGACAAAAGCTTTCATATTCAATAGTTACTTTGCATAAGAACACAAAAGAGATTTGTGTGAATCCCCTCTTTTTGTTTAAACCATAATATATGGCCAAATGTAAGGTGAGATTTTTCTTTCCCAAAGTTATCCCTAAGAAAAAGAGGCATTTTATACTAAAGTCCTTATGAAGTCATCTCATAATACCAGGCACTCTCTCAAATACTTTATTTTAAACAAAGTACTGTTTAGGGAACATGGATTAGCCCAAAACAACTGATGAGAGTTTTGGATGGTTTTAGCAATTATTCTTTTGATGGGATTGGTAAAAACAGAAACAAAGGAATTTAATATTGAGTTGGTAATTATTTTGAGAGACATGACCTAACAACTCTTAAGTGCTGGATATTGTTGAAAACAAGTACTTTAAAGATCACTAAGAAAAGAGTTAAGTGGGTACTGGAGATAAATAATAAGTGGGTTTTTTTTCTTTCTTTTTTTATAGTTAGGGAAAAAATTTCCATCATACACAGTTTCACAAAGTCCCACACCCCAAACTACTCAGACTCAATTCCAGATGACAGGTGGTGAAAACAGGCCAGCTGCCTGAAAAGGTACCACCATTATAAAGTCAAGAATGCATGGAAGGGGGAATTGGATTAAAACTGCTTCATGAAATATAATTGTGGGAAGAGAGCAATACTGCTAAAAATTATTACTTATAGTATGCCTTTTAAAGTATTTTTATGTCTAAATTACATATTATAAATATACAAGTTTATTTCATCTACGTCATGCAAACTTTAATATAGTCAATTTAGTTGAAAAAATTTGGGGGTTTTCTTTTTAGAAAAATGGGAAATTGCCTAACCTTCAATTATTAAAGATGTGTATAAATATTTGGCTACAGCCATATATCAAAGCACGGATAATATTCAATGGCAGAGCTCAAGATATTTTGTTTAGTAAAGAATCCATTCTAGCTATCCAATGGATCATCCATAGATTTTACCCCAGAGCCTATGACAATAATGAACCCATTGAGCATAACATGTGAATTTGTCTTAAATTCCTTTCTAGAAAACTTAATGTGAAACTCTCATATATATCATTTTAGAATAAAGTATTAAATAGATAGAATGTGGGACTTAAAGAATAATATACTGAGCCCCTTTCTGCTAACAGCTATCAATATTAAACATACATACAATAGAATGTCCAATTCACTACAACCATATTTGTAGATTTATGGGATCCTAAACACTCCTGTTCTCATCCATTGCTGGTAGAAATGTAAATTGAAACAATCTTTTAAAGGGTAATTTGATAATGCAAATAATAAGCCTTAAAATATACATAACTTTTACCCAAATAATTGCAATTATAAAAGTTATTCTATAAAATAATTAAAGCTGTGCACAGAAATTCAGCTAGAGATGTTCACAGCAACATTGTTTATAATGGCAACCATCTGTAAATGACCTAATGGAATGATAAGTAAATGTATTTTGACACACATATATGATGCAATACCATGTAGCCATTAAAAATAATGTTGCATAAATATACTTCTTGAAGTAGAAAAATACTCAAGAAATACTGTTAAGTAAAAGGGAGATGACAGAGTAGCATGATCTGTATGATCTGTTTTTCTAACGCAAATGAATGTGAATGTCTAGGAAAAAGTTTGGGATAGGTATACCAAAAGTTAGGGGATGTTATGTTTCTTTTTTTCTTTTGGCATGTTTTCTACTTTTTCTTTAGTAAACATTTTTATAGAAGTCATTTTAATGCTTTTAAGAAATCATCCATCTCTAATATTCCACCATAAAATTACTAGATTTTTTTGCTTAGCCCCAACATTTCCAGTATTTACAGCAGCATAATTCCTCCTTTCCTATGACCCCTATACATCCGACAGCTGCCAATCAGGACAACTTAAGCCTTCACAACATATTCCAGAAGATAAGTCAGGGTCCAAGCTTCCCAACAATTTCAATACTTTTGAGTAGTAAGAATCAAACAGTCTGGCTGCAAATTCATTCCTCTGCACCACCATTATGGCAGAAGAGACCAGCGCAGAAATATTTCAAGCTTACTGGAAGGAGTAGATACAGCAAGAACAGCTTTTATTCCCAAATATTATTCAGAACATTTGAAAAGCATAAACTGTTTCCATGTGTTTTTTTATTCCTATATCTGTTCTCTCTCTGTGTTGCCTTTCCAGTTTAGTTTTTTAGAGCTAAATTTCTTCTTATTCGTCACTTAACATTCATTCAGTAAATATTTATTGAGGATTTCTAAGTTCTCCATACTTGTCACTTACACTGAACTGTTATCCTTTCTTATTTTTCCATATAACTTTATACATATTGGATACAATCTCTTTAGTTTCTTCTCTTGCTTGGGCGGAACACTGGCTCTTTGTGAATGCTATAGTGTTCCCAAGAGCATGTCACTCTGGCTTGAGAGCTCCATGAAGAAAGGATAAACATTATTTGTTTTATTTACTACCAAGTACCCAGTACCTAGCTGAGTAATGGTAGCTATTACTTCTTTTCATCAATATCCATTCATTCTCTCTTTCTGAGCACACAGAAGACTCCATCTTCATCTTCTTTCATTAGTATAAGGACACAGTAGGTCTGGACAATGGATTGATATATGCCACTTTCAGACAAAATATCTAAAAGCAGTTCTGGCTATATCTTTCCCTGCTGTGGTAGACCTTAAGACGTCTTATGTTAAGAGGATTAGTTTTAAAGAGTGATGCCGTCTGTGTCGCCACATGGAGGAGAGTTGCCCTGTAAAGCCACCTAAACATGCAGCAGACTTTGAGTAGGTGAGAGAAATGTACTTTCATTGGGTTTAAGCAACTGAGATTTGGGGTGGGAGAGTGTCTTCATTACTGCAGCATAATGTGGCCTATCCTAACACATTATCTGTGGCATAAAATTAGCTTCTCTATAAATATTTGTTGAATAAATGAAGGTGTAGGAAAAGCGAGTTACATTTATAGAGTTCCTTCTACATTCTAGATTTCATGTTAAGCACCTGATCATAATCTTACTTAAGCCTCTCAAACAAGTAGTCATACAAATATAACTCTTCCTTTATTTAAGATCATACAGAAGA